CGGTCGGGCGGTCGGGCGGGCGGGCGGTCGGTCGGGCGGTCGGGCGGTCGGTCAGTCGGTCGGTCGGTTATCTGTTTTTTTCTGCTCATCTGATTGCATCTGGATTCGAACTCACGCCTGTATTTCAACACGTCATGGGTGTTGGTAGCCCTCAATGTATTGGCAGCAACTTTGGTGGCTTTATCACAATTCACCGATGATATCCACTCCCTCGACTGCCCAACCCCCCTTCACAGTACAGCCCTACCCCTTTGAAGTGTCTTGGTGGCAAAATTGGTGGCTTCATCACAACTGACAAACGATACCTTGGAAGGAATTTGCGTCATGCTAGAATGCATTTGTTTAACACTCTAAGAACAATTGCAAATCATACCTTGGAAGCAGATCACTTCATGCTGGAGGGCTTTTGTTTGGTCTAAGAAAAAACAGTCTTCATTTGTTCATGCTATAGATCTGGTTAATTTGGTGGGCTTAACACGTACGGACTCTGGAGTCTATATAGCACATTCATGCATTTGTTTGATGCTCTGAAAAAGGACAGTCTTCAGTGGTGTGCTGTAGCAGTTGTATAGCCGTTCTTCAGATGGTCTTCCTGTAACTGAATATAGTGCAACGAGTGTCGACATTTTCCAGACGGAGCTGCCCACTGACATGGATGCATCCGATTGTATGATCTTTTTTTCTCCCCCTCTCAAAATTCCATGTGGATAGGAATGCTGAAATGAGGAGCATAAGCTTAAAGCTCCCCAAGACAATGGAGGAGCTTGCGGAAATCAATGGGTTCGGAAAGTAAGTGTTACCATGCCGCACATTTTCTGCCTCGATCAGTATTTAATATTTTTATTTGACTATTTATCTAGGGTAACAGAGTGGCCAAAAAGGGTAACAGAGTGGCCCTGGACCACATGCCCGCCACCTGGGGGCCAGTGCCGCTGGACCCACATGATCTTATCTGAGTTATCTTTCTATTTCAGTTTTTATTTTCAGCTTGGTGAAGAATTTGGGAGTGACCATCCGATTTATGATTTACATTTATGAAAAAACTGACAAATCATCACCGACACATTATGTGGGTGGCAGACAATGATCGTAGTCAAAGCGCTGTAGCGTTTAAACCACCAGTACTTGGCCCAGCTATCGGCCGTGGGAAAAAAATAGAGTAGAAACGTTTCTAGTCGGATGAATTTGGGCGCTCCTGTACGTTTCCTAACATCGTGGCTTGTTAACAGGCACCACTTTAGGAAGTACTGGTGGTTTGCAAAAGGCAAACCTGCCCGGTGGGGCCTGCTCAAGTTACCCGGGCGACAGCGAAAGGGGGGTTCGTTTTTTTCCTTTGTGTTTTTGACAGTGGGGCGTTTTTTTCCCACTGAGATGTGCTCACATCCGGTCTTATCTTTGAATTTGGTGATGTCTCACCAATGGGTGTCTATGGGGTATAAATGGTCAATCAATCAGTCAATCAAACGCTGAGGGACTGGAACATGATCTGCTTGGACTGCATTTAATCCCGCATGGCGTAGACCC